TTTTATTCCCCCCCCCCCACCCACCATCTTTTCTAACGAAGGTAAAAATTTGGAAAGAAAAATTGCTCAGGAGAATTTTCAATATTTTTATCCTTGATTCCACCCACCTTATGTCCTAAGAACCAGTCACAGTGCCTACATTCACTGGGGATTTTTCCCCAATGCGCTTGAAATCTCCATAACCAAATATTTTTGGGTCAATCTCTGTTAACATCAAATTTCTTACAAAAATTTTATATTTCTTATTTTTTTGAGTGATGTCAAAATGATTTTTGGTTTGAACAGTACCATAAATGTCTTATTACAAGTTTCAACACTGGTCTATATAAATATACAGTACTGTACAAATGTTTTGACTACTGTACTGTGATTCCAGTCAAAGTACAGTTTTCTTTTTGCTGCTGAAAATTGTTATCTCCTTTGAATAAGGAACACATCAATACAGTTTGATGGAGAGTCATCATTCCATGTATTTGCACACATGCTCTTTTGTGACCTTCAGCAGTATCAGACATATGGAGACACACAGAAGTCTGTCACCTGGTTTTCATGCTGTGTAGCATGCTCATGAATGATGCACTGAGTCCCTGCATAGCAAAAATAACTTGTTCCTGGATGCATTTTGTTATGCAGGAATTTTAAAAATCTGAAATACTCAAGGTTTAATCGTCAACAACAGTACTATAATTTTTCCCAGACACTTGCAAAAAGACCCCAATGAACATTAAAAAATTTTCATCATGAAATCAGGAATTTTCATTTGAGAAGTACAGTACTGAATTCCCAAATCCTGCTGGAAAGATTGTGTTCTGAGTTTTCTTAATTTCAAGAATTTTATGAACAGGAAGAGGCAAAATGATGTCCCTCTTTTGTCATATTACTTGATTTTTAAACCCTGAAATTCCATCTCAAAACCTTTTGAAATTGAAGCACTTTTTGAACAAATGCTTTGATAAGTGAACAGTTTTCATTCTGCAAATAGTTGTTTTCTTGTGTAAACGTTTAATGCAGATTTGTGTGGGTCTTTTGTCATTAATGGGCTCACTGTATTGATGATTGCCTGCAAGCCTTATTGTAGTTCACACCTCAAATTTGAAGGCACCATCAAAAAATTTGACTTGTAGAAGTTTCCATTTGAGGATGTTTGGGGAACTCTAAGGTGAATAATGCTTGAGACTAGGAAAACAAATTTGATTTATGAAGGTTTTTGACTAGGGTAGGTTTGAGTTGAAAAGGTCCAACTGTATAATTCATGGACCATCCCTTGCCCTCATAGCATTTGTTTATGAATAGGTCTGTAAGGAGGTGGACTCTCTGTGCAAAAAATTCTCTCTCTCTCTCTCTCTCTAAAAATGTTGTTACCACAATTTCATGTGTAATGATTTTTTTGGTCCCATTGACAAAAAAAATTCTCCCTAGACTGTTTTTTTCTGGTCCCTTGGATTTTTTTTTATGGAGAGACAGAAAGAAAAAGAGAGAGACCAGCTGTATATGTTGTAGGTGCTGTACTAGTGTATTGTACTACAGTACAGTAAATGCAACAGCACTGCAGTAAAGCCACACAGTCTCCGTCCTCTTGGCTGGGGAATGGCATGTGTTTATTTGGATGCCCGTGCATTCATCATCCAGTCCCATGCTTCCTGGATGGATCGGAATGGTGTGTGTTATGTGACTTATGTCCGAGTTCATGGTCGGGTGTCCAGCGGCGAGGGATGATGCCTTGGGCTGGTTCCGCACGACCGATTCGGCGCCATGATGCGGGCGTGTATAATTCGCGTCGCTCTTTGTCCTCGACAACGAGCTCTATTGTTCTTCTTCCGAATCCTGTCCATGGTCTCGATTCTTGCTTGAACAAGGGAATGAATGATTGAATGCACAGTATGCGTGCGTGCGTGTGTATGTACAGTACAATGCTGTACTGCACTGTTTTGCACTTGGAGCGCATGTCAAACTCAAATTGCTGAGCCGTGTCGAAATCATCCCGTGCGACGACGGCACGATTTAATAAGATACGCGTGTCTAAATGACTCACTGGGTGAAATGCGAATAGAAAAATTCGAGGGGAAAAAAGATTGTTCGGTCTGATGTGCGAGGCATTTTACTGTACTGTACTCAGCTTTATAAACGGAATTTCATTGTAACGAACTATTGTATTCGTCAGGAGGAATACATTTTGAACGTCTCGCGGCTGAGAAATATCAGATACTGATACTGTACACTGGTGCATGATGCTGTTCAAATTGGATGTACTGACTTGATCAGATTCAAATGTTCCCCAGTCTAATCGTCCGTATTAAATCGACGCCGTTTCCAGTCACATTTTTCAAAAATCATGTCAGACCGGAAACTGACGGAGTTGATGATTCAATTTTATTGTGTCAAAGGAATTCTTACGTACTGTACTTGAGAATCTCAAGATTTGTTCGCGTTCATTAAAAAAATGGAATGGATTTATGTGAGACCGAGTCACACCTCGTGGACCTAGAGTGACATCTACGTTTTCTGTTGTTGGTCATGATAGAAGATCGTTTCGGAATATTTTACAATGTTTCCCAAGTCCGTGGAAAAATACAATTCATGAATGATTTCGGATCAGTTTGAAGATTCAGCGAAAACATTACGAAATTGATTTTTGCTTCAATGCGCGTGTGGTATCTTCTAATTTCGAAAGCAACGCGCGTCGGGGTCCCTTTGGAATGCCTTCAGCCATATTCCGGAATGATTTTTTCATTAATTTTCGTCATGTTAAGTCAGGAAACCAACTTGACGCTTAAAACTGCATCACGCGTGTTCCCAATTCACGACACTCGCTCTTATGGTTCAAAAAAATAAAATAAGAGAGAGCCGCTTTATTATCAATAAGAGTCAAGATTGACGCGTCATATTGCACAAAAACAACTTCTCCAAAAAAAAAAAGAAAGAAGATCCAGGCTTCCACTGGAACGTGTTTTTTCTCTGTGTGTACAAGACAGTACATACTTGTATTTATTGTTCGTGACTGGTGAAAAAGACGGAATGATTCGGCGGTTTTGAACACACAGTGTGCATTTTATTTTTTTATCCGGGTTCTGTGTACTTCACTGTGCCTCACTGTAATTGCAATTGCGCGCCGACTTGAATGTGTCGGAGACAAATGAAAACGTGCAGCAAGCGAGTAACAGGGCTGACGCATAGACACGTCATGACTTTGTTGCTTGCAGCTGACGATGACGATTAGAATGTCGGATTTGTGGTGTCGGTACGTGGGTTTGATTCCCACATGGAAACATTTTAGAAGGAAAACAAATGAGAACCCGACGCCGAAATGAAACGCTTTTCTTTGTTTCAAAATGTTGACGTTGGATTTTATTACTTGCACACCGCCGCGTGCTGGTGGGAATGGAAATTATTGCCAACTCCAAATCATGATTTCATATACAGTACAGTAATATTTGCATAATTCCTTCAACTACTGTACTGCACTTTAATGCTCTTACAGTCGCATTGGATGTTATTCGTTTTCATTTTTTCGGAATTGATACTGTAGTATGCACTATTGTATTCTGTACGTGATAATACTGGTGGTACCTTGTAATTCGACCCTAATCCATTGCCAAACTAGGGTCGAATTGCGAAGCAGTCGAATTGCTAAACACTGGGTCAAATTGAAAAATTTCAGTACAAAAAACGCGAAAAAAGTGGCCAAAGCAGGTCGAATTGCGGGGCAAGGGTCAAATTACAAGTCAACCTCCCTGCAAATTCGATAAATTGTTAAGGGAGATAAGATGAATCCTGCACATTTTTGAGGCTTCATAGTTCGAACCTCTTTCGTCAAATGTGATCCGAGTCCCTGTGTGAATCCCCCTTGTAGAGAGCTTTCAAGTGCTTTGATCCCAACTCCCATGACTTTCCTACTCGAACCTTTGTACCTCTAGTTTCTGGAGACCTTATTGCTTTCATTTTATTGGCAAAAAACGAAAGAAAAATAGTCGAAGAAATTCGTGTTTTGGAAAGAAATGGATTGACTGGGAAAATGATCCCTTTCCTCAAGTTCCGCCTCCTGTCAACTTACTCAAAAAGCAATCTGGTGCCCACAATAACACCCCTGACGATGTCCTGCATTTCTTCTTTTTCCCTCCCAGCAAAGTGCCTTGACGCAGATTTTTTGCTGGTCCCTTGAAATTCGACGGAAAGAAGGTCCTAAGTATTCAAAATTCAATAAAGCAGTACAGTACATTTCGCATGACATGATTGAGGGAACCTGCACATGCAGCGTCGTCATCTAGCGGAGTATCCAGCATTCAAGCAAATGAAACGTTCCAAAATTCTTCCATAGGTGTCGCTGACGTGCAGAGCTATGACCACGACGCCGAGTTCGTGCCTGTCGAGCAGAGCCGCGGCCCGAGCTCAATCGAGGCCGTGGAAGTACCAGCAGTTGGTGAGGACAGTGACGGCGGACACTCTCATCACGACGAAAGCGACGAAGAAGGCCGTCAGTTCGTGTTCCCGCGCGTGCGCATCTTCCGCATCCCGTTCATGCGCACGCCGCCGCTGTTTCCAAGCCTGTTCCAACAACGCCGCCCCTCGGTGTTTGCTGCAGAGGACGACTCGTCATCGTCCATGTTTGGCGGCGGAAGCGACGAAGTTGACAAGCGTGTAAATGACCCGGAGTCTACGGAAAGTGAAGCTGATTTTGACTTCGTGCCGCCTGTCCGACGCCCGTCCGTCACCCTGCCCTCGCTCTCTGACATCTTCGGCGAGTTCAACCGTGAGTTTTGCTTTCATCAATTTTGATTCCAGTTTTATTGCAATTCACGGAATATACCGTTTTTACTCGAGTGAATTTTTAGTGACGCTAAGATTCAAAATACTTAAAAATGACCCCCCCTCCATTTAAATTTAGACATGAATTTAACCTGAATTCAACTAATTATAAATTGTATCCATTAAATGTTAAAATACATGTACTGGAGTTTTTCTTTCAGATTTGGTCCAACAGTTTCCACGAGAATGAAGTTTAATGCACACCTGAACTTCTTGAATATTTACCTGCTTATAATTTTCACCCCCTTTTGCTCTCTAATTTGAGAAGAAAAGGTGCATTTGTTGCTCCAGTAAATACTATATTCATCTGCTCAGTTCTGGTTAAGCCTTCTCCCATTTTCGGGACACCAAATGGCTCTTTTGAGATTGCATAAACAAATTCGTTTTAAAATTTCTTGAAGATTTCGCGTATAACAATTAACGATTGTTTCCCCGTGGTAAAAGAATGCTCTGAGTTCAGCAAGCTGTGAACTGAAGCTTGAAAATCTTTCAAAAAGTTTAGGATAATGATGAAAGAAGAAAATACAGTACTTTTGTATCTTCTTGTCTTCAAGATTTGTGGAATTCAGAAAGTTATATCACAATCTTTGATCAATTCATGAAAATGGATGTAAACTGAAATTGCAAACTGATAACTTGGAAAAGAGGCACAATTTTAAATGTCTATTATAGTTTCATTGTGAGTGTTTGGAACACATGCACTCATTTAAAATTCAATTCCAAAGAAAACCCCGTTTTGCAATACAGAAATTCTGCAAAACAAAGTGCATCCAGTCTTAAATGACAGTTTTTACTCAAGTACCACACACCCTCAAATAAGATGGACAATTTGTGCCCAACACCGTATCCCTGTGCAGGACACAGCACAACCCAGTTTTTGCTGATAAATTTTTCCTTGATACAGTATTAAAAGGATAAGTACTAAATGCAATATTGTCTGATCAAAAGTTTCTATTACAGTACGAAGATTCGTTTTGACTATCAGCACAATTTTTTTTTATCGTTTACCTTTTTCGAAAGATGTAAACCCGCATACCACGCCCACATCACTTCGCAGAAAGAAAAGTAAGTTTGCTGCTTGGGTTAATACAGTAGTTTGGTTATGCAGGGACCGACTGAGAAATATCTGTCAAAGCTGCTACAGTATTTTCGCCGCCCTTACTCATCTTCCTCCTCTTTCTCGATACAGGTCGCATGCAGGTGTTCGAGGACGAGATCTCCAGCTTGTTCACTGGCATGATGACCAGACAGCCGCCGGCCGAGAGGATCCCATCAGTTGCGTCCGAAGAAGCCATCGAAACCGAGATGGGCGAGGGGGATGATGAAGAAGAAGAAGAAGAAGAGCGGCCCCAGAGCGGGTTCGGCTTCAACCTCTTCCGCCCGTTCCTGCGACCCTTCAGTCCCGGCAGCCTCTTCGGGTTCCGCCACCCGACCGACTTCCCCAATGACTACAAGAACTCCACGTCCAAGACCGAGGTCCGTTGATTAGCAGTACAGCATATGAACCTGGGGCCTGTGCTGTGTGTTCAAAAAAAATAATGAATGATGTTTCCACGTAATTTGAAGACGACAAAATCCTGCGACTGTAATTTAAAATACCCACCGGTAAATTTAATAATGTACCTTATTTCGTCGAATACAATGCGCCTCTTTTTCTCTGAACATTGAGAGAGTAAAAAAGTGGGTGCACGTCATGGGGAAGGATAACATTTGAAAAAAAAAAAATCAGAAGTTCAGCTGCATGTCTCAATTAAATTTAATGGGCGATTTTTGACAGAAACTTTCGCTGAAATCGGAAGTTACTTGAAATTATGTCACATTTCAATTCTGGCATCCCTCATTTTTCTAGTATTGTATAGTTTACCAGTCACTAAAAATACAGTGTGTATGCTTCTTTCATGGGAATAGGATTTCAGGAGAAGTTCAGAGAAAAAATGGGGTGCTTGTTGATCCTCGGGTGAATATGTTGTTGTATCACTTCTTTCATCGTGTCCATTGTTGTTCGTGATGCTGCAGCTGTTAAACAGTCGAGGTTGATGCGTGATTTAGCAAATTCTGAAGGAATTGGAATGTGGGTGCCAATATTCGGCATATCATCCTTCCCTTTTCAACTAAACCTTGCAATTCTTCTATATACACAGTCAATGGGTAAAGTGATCGAATCGAAGTGATTACACATGTTAAACCTCTGCAGAAAATCGGCAACAAACTCCGCGGTTCAGATAATGAACAAAAGCAAAACACCAACCGTATTTCCCTTCATAATTATCACTTTAATGGGTTGTTAAAACAAGAGCAATAATAGCCTTGACTTTTTTAAATGAAGTAGTTCAATGAACTGAAATTCGGAGCATGATGGATCGAGGAGGTACAGTAGATAGAATTTGAGAATATGCTAGTACAGTATGTTAAAATAAATCTCTTCCGTCCCATCTTGTGCATTGACTTCGGAGTTTGAAGTTGGCCCAGGACTTATTTTTTCAAATGTTCAATATTTCAAATATTTTAACCTGTATAGTGTCTGCTCGGAAGTTTAGTGGAAAAGAAGCTTGTCGGATTTATTTGTCGATGCGCGTAGAATATATATATATGTGAGCGGGAAAGCAAAGAGAGTATACGAGTCAGTGGTGGTGACGTCCCCTTTCGATTAAACCCGCAGATCATCAACGGCACGAAAGTGATGGTGAACGAGACGATCCACAAGGGCGGCGACGACAGCGCGTCGCACTTCGTCCACTTCAAGGTGATCCACATCCTGCCCGAGGGCGACGCGGCAAAGGACGGCGAAGTTGACGAGGACAGTACTGTTGTTGGAGTCGGAGAGGCGGAAGTCGCAGGCGGCGGCCAAGAAGAAGTGGAGCAGGACAAGACTGAGGTCGCGACGCAGACGGAAGGCGGCGGCGATGATGATGATGAGAGCGAAGCCGTGGATCTGGCCCACATCCTGCCCGAGTCTATCACGTCCGTCATCCCGACGGCCGCCGACATCAAGAAGAAGGACGGCGTCAACCCGGCAGACTTCGGCTACAACGTGGGCGACAACGAGATCGACAAGACCGTCGAGGTGGTCAACCTGTCCGACAACAACAATGAGGACAAGAGCAAGGCCAAGTTGCCGGCCGGCGTCGAGGACGACCAGCAGCTGCCAAAGGCCGCCTAAGGCCCAAAACTTCTTATACATTCACAACGAAGAAGAAGAAGAAGGAGGAGGACTTCTGTGTTTTTGTTGAAAGAGCGCATGACAAGACAGACAGACACAGAAAAGACAGAAACACTCCATTTGTTAGCGTTTCCGAGAATCGAACTTTGTTTGGCATTCTTTCAAAAATCAATCAACCAATCGATCAATGAATCAAGCTTGTTTTTTTTTGCGTCTGAGAAATCGTGTGACGGATTCTCCGAATATATTTATTGTTTACAAAACTGAAATCCTTGGGTCTGCAACTTACTCGCTGCAGGCGGAGTGGCCGTCGGCGTCGCAGCACCAGTCGCTGCCTTCCGGCGCACCATTGTCTGCGTGTATGTCGGTCTTTGATCCCGGCGGAGTCCGCGGGATCTTGGGTTTGCTGCCAAAGGCCAGCTGGTAGTCTCGAGGACTGCAATGTGGGGTCGTGCGAACATTTTAGACTGATGTCCAGCACAGGTTTTTTAAAAATTTTATTTCCAAGGTTCCCGTCGGGCATCGAAAATGAACTTCAGAAATTAACAGCCATCACCGTTTTTTCTATTCGTAATTTCGTTTGTTGAAAGGCCGCTTGTTGATCGCGAAAGTAGTGGTCGTTAGTTTTTGGCTTCGACTCGTTTACTCACGATGTCACTAAAAAAGATGCAGTTCATCTGGAGCGATAATCTACTTGCCTCGCTTAAACTTCAAAACTCGCAGGTTTTTACAAATTCATTGTTGGTTCGTTCGGCCTTCTCTCATCGAATTGAACACGGTTTTGAGTGGGGTTCATTATTTGTTTTGGTATGATAGAGGAAAATTAACATTCATGGCGGTCAAAGATGCAAAAAACGCGAATGAAACCGCGAACGAACTAACCAACCTTTTTCGACGCTTTCATTGCAATATTAAGTAGGTATAGAAACTTGAGAACTAACTCGTATCTCTTCAAAGCCGCCACGGCCTCCCACTTGCTGATGGACGCCGCCTCCACCTCGTTCTGGTGTCGTTTCTTGCCGCGACCGCCAGCAGCAGGACCAGGTCGTCCTTCTGTATCATGCCGAAAAGAGGAAATCTTAGCGGTTTTAAAGAAAAGAAAAGGAAATAACTTGGCAGCATGAGGTGCGCGAATACGACTGCACTTGGGCGATACTTTGGTCATTTCTAGAGCAGGTAGGGCTGTAAAAAAATTATTGTGACACAGCCGAGGATGACGTACGGTTCTTGAATCTTTTTCGGAATTAAAGAAAAAAAACGTTCAAATTCATGCAGGACGATGTCACAGCGGTGACTAAAAAAAATTGTCGAGTCAGCTGACAAGTAAAATGTATTAGTTCTTTTGACTACAGTATTGGCTTTTCTAAATGATGGAGAAAAAAATTATAATTGAAATGCATTAGTTTTCTTAGCCATGTTCTTTTCTACACAATGGTTTAAAAAAAACAATTTCAATTTCCTGGCCTGAAACTGTGACACGTGTGGAGAACTCCAGCTATATATGACTGGACACCTAACATCATGGAGTAAAATGAAACATTTCTCTAAAATTCAAAAATCCCAAAACCTTTGGCTGCATCAGAATTTTCATTTTCCTTCATGCCGACTTTGGAATTAACCAAGGTTGCGCCAAAGTGGGACAACCCTCGAATATGATGGGAGTATATGCAAATAAAACTCAAACCTTGGAGGGACGTGTGTATGTCCCCGGAAAGCGGGGCAGGATCCGACACTCGATGTCTGCTGGATCCCACGTAGGAGCAGGACTTGGACCCGGGCAAAATAGCGGCGCTACCGGGTGACACCTTGCCATTAATCGGGTCTTCATCCGGGATGCAGTCGCCGATAGGGGGCGTCGTCGTCGTCGTTGCCGCCGCCGCCTCTTCTACCTTCGTGCACTTAATTCTGCGGTTCACCGGCGTGTCTGTATGCAGCAAAAGAAGGCATACTAGTGGAGATGATGATCGAATACTGTACTACCTCAAATCACTTAAGTAATGTAAATTATATCGGACATGAAGAATTCTTGGTTGAAAACTCTCGCCACATAATCCAAATTTCACATAACAGTATTTTTTTCATGGAAGAGAAGCATGCAGAGCAGCTCAGTATGGACTTTTGCTGCCTTATCATTGTTCCCTTTCGATTGTAAATTTGCGATTATAAGACTTGAAATAACAACACCAGTTCAGCTGTAGGTATTTTCAAATTTAAACAAAATTAAGTTTTTTATTTAGCTCTGTGCATTTTACCAGCTTATATAGGCTCCCAAAAATTTCCCAACGCGAACATGAAATATCAATTTAATGGAATTATTTTAGGTTTTTTTGCCATTTGATTATATCTGTCTAATAAAAGAATGCTGACAGCTGATGTGAGGATTACATCAGCCGGTTCAGAGAACCCCCAATGAACAAGAAATCCAATTGCTGAGGTCCACCTCCTGATCCGGCAAAATCCTTGGTTTACAAACCGAACTTCAGTGCAAAAAAGACTAGAACGGATGGAACAATATCATTGCAAAGACTCATTTTCAGGTTCAAATATGAATACTTGATTATGTGTTAATTCAAGTGGGGCCCCGAGCTGCAGATGCAATTGGTGATTGGACAATGGCCTTGGCGTGACAGAGCATTTGTATCACGTTTTCTCATATAATTCAAGCCAATTAATTAATATTTAATTGGCTCTCCAGCTCATCACAAAATTGAGAATATAAAGTCCCCAACAAATTGAACAGTTGTTTGCAACTTGGAGACACAGAAAATAACTGTGCAGAAAGAAACCACACAGAATCTGACCATTATTTGGCATCAAAATAATATCAAGAAGCAAAGAACAAGTTTAGCTATACAGTACTGTGCACATGTTTGCCTTGCTCATCGCTCCTTCTTGATGGTGAATTAGCATCACAGTAATTCTAGGATTTCTTTCAATTTTGTGAAAAGAAATACCTGTAACTCAATTTGTTTGAAATACAGTATCACAATAAATAAAATGTGTTTCCAGTTTCCTGGATATGTCAGCAAAGTGTCCGTATATCAAGGCACTGTCCGATTTTGCAAATTGGGGCACATTTTTTGGTTCTTTCCTGTTATATCAGTACCTACTTTCCATGCACCTACCAGAAACTGTGAATTTCATTTTTCCGCATTCTGCTGAAACTGATTTTGGGAGGCAATTAGGTAACTTACATAACCTGACCTAACCTAACTTTACCTAATTGCCTCTTTGGGTTTCTGCTGCTTCTGCTTTCTCTGGGTTTATGCTGAAACTGATTTTGGTAGGCGGTTAGGTAAAGTTAGGTTAGGTTAGGTCAGGTTACGTTGTTTGAAAGATATTTGTAACTGACATGACCTGACCTAACCTAGCTTCAGCAGCCTAGTTTCAGCAGAAACCAAAAGAAAGCAGAAACTGATTTTGGAAGACAGTTAGGTAAAGTTAGGTTAGGTCAGGTCATGTTAGTTACAAATATCTTTCAATTAACATAACCCGACCTAACCTAACAAATACTGAATTCACGAGACAAAGAAAAATGGGTACTGAGATAACACAAAAGTACCCATTTTTCTTCATTTTTCAGTTTCCCGGAGTCAAATCGTCCATATCTCGGGGTCCCACACTTTACAGTACAGTACTTCGGCTAAATCCTCGCGACGCATCATGATGCAAGACTTCAGATAAAACTTCTGCTTCGCGCCATGTTATCATCAACATTTAAAACGGCGTCGTAATTCCCATACGGATTAGACAAGGCAGCGTTTCTCACGGGTCGGAGACGTCATCGTAGGCCGCCCCAAGCTGGATCTCAGAACCGGGATGGCTGACGTCGAGACGCCCGCCGCCGGGGGACTCAATTTCGTCCTCGGATGAAACCCCGGTTGTGCAGCAGCCAGCAACAGCACAGCTGCTGGTTTACTGCTGCGATCTCCCGCACCCTCAAAAGCAGGTGCTGCTGCTGCGGGGATGGTGGTTGCAGCGGCGACGGCGCCCTTCAGCAACGCTATCCTGCTGGGCGTCGGTGGTGGCGGTGGCGGCGTCACGGGAGGCTTCGCAGCTGCACGCCGCCTCGACTTCTCTCGCCGTTTATTGCTCTCAGCCGGGGCGGCATTATTCCTGCAGGACGCCATGGGACATGGCGGTGGTGTCGTCAGCACACAAGTGGACCCCTCCACGCGAATCAGCGCGCCTGGGTCTTGGCTGCGCACTGGAATCTGTGTGCTGGTTTTCCTCGACTTATTATTCCGACCATCCCTCAGCTCTTGTGACTTGACACAAAAAAAGAAAAGAAGGAAAGGATGATGCATACCGGGTTGTAAGCGAAAAAAGAAAAACTCGACCAAAACCTATCAAATTGGGGCAACTTACAGTGAACACCCTGACATATGGACGATTCAACTTAGGGACACTTGAAAATCAGAAAAAGCAGGACCAACATCTGGACAATAGCTTGAGCTAGGGACACTCTTCTGAAATTTTCCCAAAAATTGAAACTTTTTATTTTATAATTTTGATATACAGTATTTTGAAGAAATCATGCTATTTATATCCACAAAAATAAAATAAATATTTCATGATAAATTCAATCTAATTCATAATCAAAAGCAAGCTGACTTTGTGCTTCTGTTTTTGTAATTTTTCTTATCATCTGTGCATATTCTAGCAAGACTTATTCCTTTTCTTTGGTTTTTGATCTCTTTTTATTTTAAAAGATCAGATTCCATGTTGTTTGGTTCTGCACTGTTGTTTTCTATAACTTGAAGTTGAGGGAAACAACTTTTATGAAATTTTTTGAGGACGTACTTCTTTCTGATTCTTGACAGAATGGAGAACCAGTTGAATGCATTAGAATTTGAGTCCAAGGGAAAATTAGACTTGACTTAGGACATTCCAACATCAGGACTTTCTTGATGCACCAATTACATCCACATCTTGGGGTCTCACTGTACAGTACAGTGAGACCCCCAGATGCAGACATAATTGGTGTATCAAGAGTGTCCCTAAGTCACATAGTCCCCAAGTTCATTAGCTAGAGTTAGGGACACTCTTCTGAAATTTTCTCGGAAATCGCAGCATTTTATTTCATAATTCTGATATATTTTGAAGAAATCAAGCTATTTATAATCACAAAAATGAAAAAAATGTAAGGATAAATTCAATCCAATTCATAATCAAAAGCAAGCTGACTTCGTGCTTCTGTTTTTGGAATTTTTTCCTATCATCTGTGCATATCATAGCAAGACTTATTCTTTTTCTTTGCTTTTTGATCTCTTTTAATACCAAAAGAGCAGATTCCATGTTGTTTTGTTCTGAACTGTTGTTTTCTACAACTTGAAGTTGAGGGAAACAACTTTAATGAAATTTTTTGAGGATGACTTCTTTCTGATTCTTGATAGAATGGAGAACCAGTTGACTGCATTATAATTGAAGTCTAAGGGAAAATTAGACTTGACTTGGGACATTCCAACATCAGGACTTTCTTGATGCACCAATTACATCCGCATCTTGGGGTCTCACTGTAATTACTTCTCAGATTGTGTTCATATTACAGAACATCTGCATGCTTAATCACATTTCCCCCAAAGACTTTATTACAAACAGTTTAATTATTCCTTATGTGTGGAAAAAATGTCTTCCAAAATTGCATAATACATGCATTTTTTACTGAACTTCAGGATACTACAAATGATTGTTCAGAAGACAACCACACAGAATCAGCCTTTTAACCATTAACCAATCAACAAAATTCAGAAAAACACACATATACTTTACTATTATACTGAAGTACAGACACATGATGGAAAAACCCCTAAAATGCTGAACGCAAGATTGATCAATTTAGTGAAAAGAGTCAAGACTTCAAGAGTGAATGCACAGTACAGTATATATGTAAGCAATGAATTTTTGTCCACAGTAGTAGATCAATAGTTCAGGAGATTCATTATCACAAATCACAATTTCGGAAAATAGAAGTTTTCATTGGTATGGAAGTGTTGCCAAAGCTTCCATGTCTTAAGACATCATTCAGACATCAGGTCAGATTTTTTTTTTTTATCTTGAAGTGTCCGTGAGTCGAATTGTCCACAATGAGGTAGGGGGGCATTTGATTCTGGGACCATGTCTATTTAATAGAGACAGGCATTTATCAGATAAAATCGGGATAATTTAAACATGAAAACATCCGTTGGATAAGAATCTCTTTTCAACAGGTTCCTGTAGAAAGTGTAATCGCCATGACTAAAGTTTTTTTTTCAATCGAAAAATGACCTAATAACTGAATACTTTTCTAGAAGTGACATCTATCAAGTTGAGTAACAGTTCTGGTTCAAAGTTAGCTTGTTACCATCACCACGGATGTCGCATCTTTCGACGACGCCTTTCCTACCGAGTCACCCCGTCCGCGCCTGCGATGATGGTGGTGGAGATGCAGGTGGTGGTGATGATGATGGCGTCGGCGCTGCAGCGGCGCCGACGGCGACCCAACCGCCGCCTTCGCTGACGACTTCCCCACCGTCGTCATGGTGTACGTGACCGCCTCTTCGCCGGCGGACACGGAGTCAGTCACCATCATCACCGAACCGCCGCCCGTGAGCTTCCTGTTCCTGGCGAGGTGACGCCGCGAAGACGACGGCTTGACGACATTGTCGGTTGGGCGGCGTTGTCGACAGCCCGACGACCTCGTGCTGGTCCAGTCTGCGTCCCGCGGAAGCAAGCACGTCGTTTGCTTCGTGTCGCGGATTTTTGTGTTGGTCAGTTTCCTGCTGCCGAACAGTGTTTACGTTTTGAAGAAACGACGAAATCTCGTCGCAACAAACTTCTATCGACCACATAAATACGTTACCTTGAAATTTTCATGACAAAAACGCGCGAAGAATTTTTCTGGAGTAAGAGCTTATTAACTTCAAATTTATTTTTTGTTGTTGATGGAAAAATCAAGATACTGCACGGATTTCTCAATAGAAGAACGTTTTTATCATTGAAGTGCTGTATAGAACTAAGTTTGTCCGCTTAAAAAAATGTTCCTCATGCCTAGAGGAAGTACAGAGAAAGCATGAGATATATCATTGAATTGTGAAGCTGTCAAATTGCAAGACACTTTGTGAAATTCAAAAATATCAGTACAAGAATGCAAATATTGGCCAAAGCAAGTCAAATTGTGGGGCAATTGTCAAATTTCAAGTCAACCTCCCTGCAAATTCCACTGTCAAATTGCAGGATGGTCAAATTGCAAGGTACCACATGTACATGAGTAAATGCGGTACATGCAGTCAAATTTAAGTAGAAAATCTAGAAACAATATTACAGTTGAAACCTTGCTATTTCAAGCCTCTGTAAGTTTAATACCTCCCTGACTCAAATTTTTTTCTAATCCCTGTCTGGATTCCCTTAGAAACAATGCATTGAAAACCTCCCGAACTCAAAGTATTTTTCTCTCAAACCTCTTTAAGTCAAATTTTCTGAAGCTTTTTGATTATTATTTCCTTGAGATATGAAAGATAAAATCAATAAAACAAATGATTTTATGCATCTTGAATTGAAGTGAAAGACTAATTTAACAAATGAACCCCTGCCTCCAAGTTCAGCAAACTGTGAAGTCATTACAAAATAAGTTTAGGCCCAGAATATCCTCATCTACTATTTCCCACAATTTTTTTTTTACTTTTCCTCACATCAAAAATGTTTGCTTCCTTTACTCAAAACCTCCTCAAGCTAAAACCTCCGTCAGTCAATTTTTTTTCCTGCTCCTTAGAAGTTTGAATTAGAGAGGTTCAACTGTATAAAATTTATTATTACAATACAGCAACTTTATTTCTCTCAATGCTATCCCATCTTGGATTCCTGCAATAAGTAGAAAACATCCAGGGTCTCGAAAAAAATACTTGCCTAGTCAGCAGGACAGAGTCTTCTGTGGCCTGAGAAACTGGGGAGCCAGACACGGACTGGAACTTGATCTCAGAAGCAGGCTGGGTGAGGAGACGGCGCCTGCTGCTGCTGCCTCCAGCACAGCCACCACTTCCAGCACCCGAAACAACGACGTGCTGTTGTCGAGGCACTGTCGACTCGTGTCCATCCCCGCGAGCTAGACTCGACGATTCACTGATGACCGTGACTGCTGCTGGCAATGAAAGTCCTGCAGCGAGAATCAATCGTTTGAAAAGGAGATGACATAAAAAATCTTCAACGATGGAAAAGAGAAACATTTAGAAAGAAATGTGCACCGAAAACTGCTTCTCACTTCTGATCGTGTCGTCGCAGTCGGACACAGTCGATGACTCATTTCCGTCTCGCTGTTCCGCGTTCAGAAGCAACGGTCTACAAAACAGGTCAACGCGTTGTTCTACTGCTGATGCTTCTGCTGCTGACGCCGTCACTTGATCGGTCCCATCGTCAGCAACAGGTCCCATATTCGCTTCTGTATTGCAGGCCTCACCTTTGACACAAAAACAAGGGTTCTCTCGCGCGACCATTCAGGTCATTCAACTTCAGGATTCCCTCCTCACCTGGGAGCAGAAGGACCCCGACGTCTTCAAGCAGTGCTCGTCCTTGAACTCTACCGCAGTCGGCTTTCATCATCAGCAGGAGAGGGTCATTCGCGTCCAACTGATTCTCCAAGCGAAGAACGCGGATCTTGAGGGATTAAAGTTCAAATTGCACTTCACAGCAAGGAGAAAACAGGGTCAGTATGCCTCCTCACGCTGTAATTATCATCGTCATTCGGAATGTCGGTTAACATTTCCTTATCGCGGCTGGAGCGCAACTCGGGTTTGGAGATCATTTGGAACAGTGCTTCAACACGGCGTCGAAGCGGACTGAGTCCAGACTGTCATGTGTTGAGGTCAGGAGCAGGATAAAAGAGAAGTGAAAACCAAAGAATGAGCAAACACAGAGACATAATGCCTGAGGTTATCTTCCTAGAGGTTCCAGTGCTCAATGTTTTCATGCTAAAGGTTGTAGTACTAGAAGTTTTAGTACTAAAGGTATGGGTACTAAAGTTTCTAGTGCTACACATTCTATAGTGCAGGAGGTTTGAGTGTTGAGAGGTTCTAGCGCTCAATGTCTGGATGCTGAAGGTTCTAGTACTACAGTTCTATTACTAGAGGTTCTATAGTACTAGACGTTATTGTACTAGAACTTCTAGTACTAGAACATCTAGTACAGTACTAGAACCCTTGATAGATCACCCTTGTTAAGCCGCAAAAATCTTGCTGCACAGATATTGGCAGTTTAATGGGGTTTAACTGTACTAGAGGATCTAGTACTAGAAGTTCTAGTACAAGAACCTCTAGTACTATAGAACCCTAGTACTAGAGGTTCTAGTACTATAGATCCTCTAGTAATAGAACATGTAGTACTATAGAACCTCTAGAACTAGAACCTCTAGTACTAGATCCTCTAGTACAGTCAAACCCCATTAAACTGCCAATGTCTGTGCAGCAAGATTTTGGCGGCTTAACAAGGGCAATCTATCAAGGGTGGTGGTTCATTGGGGGGGGGGGGGGG